GTAGCTATAGGATAGTTTCCCCACAAACTCATGCACAATTACATGCAAAAGCATCCTCTTTCCAGTAAGCAAGTGCTACTTCGGCTAAGGATTCCCCAGAAACCCTCAAGATCGCGATGACTCTCAAAGTTCGTGTAAGGCTCCAATTCATTGGTGACATTCAGAATAGTCGAAAATCCAAAAAAGCTAGACTGTATTTCTGCGTTATGACGAAGAATATAAGAATAAAATTGTTTTAGGAATGATGCAAGTCGTATTGAGAAGTTAGAGAGTGCGTGGATAAATAAACAGGATTCAGTGAAGAGGTAACTAACTAGCTGGCCAGTTAAATAGGACAGACCAGACAGAAGAGACAAACAGAGAGATGACAGAGTATGCAGTAAGTAGATTGCCAGAACCTACTGATGGAGAATATGGTGATTCCTATCTGTTTGCAAGTCTATGAGAAAAATGTTTCCACTGGTGGATTCTGACACTTTGTCGGGAATATCTCATTATAACGTTATGTACATGCTGGATGTATGCATGCTAGTACGAATAAATACAAACGTTTTCAGTCAATTTGGTAAAAAGAAGGAATGCATAGTGGGAAAGATATTAAATCACAAGCTGAAAGTCGTAGGATACAATGGATGCATTATTTTTTCTGGGTGTATCCCAACTGTAATGGCGGAGTGGAAATGGAATGCATCAAGAGTCGGCCATTTTCATTTAAATTTGGCGGCTTTCCAGTCAAAATCGGGCAGTGGGACGAGGGCGTAACCGAAGTTTGTAGCGACTTCACGTTGAATTCGAGTTTTCAAGTCATGCCGACGGGTGTGCACATTTGTGCACAAGCGTGTAGGTTTGTTGGTGGGATCAGCCGGGTGGCCAGGACGGCCGATTTCATGCCCCATGGACCAATGTCTCGTCTCGGTCTTTCGCGGTGGGAGTAGAAGAGGCAGGACGATCGGCTGTGAGCAGGACTAAATCACACAAAAGCGGTACAACGGGAATATTTGGACTAAAAATGGGTCTTAGTGAAAATCGGTACACTCGGACAGATTGGACAAAACCGGATTGCAAAGCCAAGCAAAGTTGCGGTTTGTCATCAAACTTGGAATCTGCTGATCTGGACCGGAATTATGCAAAAAGCGTAGCCTCACTATCCGGTGGGCATGGCATGGCGGAACGAGACGACACATGTCGAAAGGGCTTGACTATAGAGAGTATGCAAAAGTAAAAAGGCAGTTTATCTCAGTCGTGGCTTTTAAGAGGAAATTTCTCCTGCACACAAAGGGCGGGTAGATAAATTAACAAATGAATAATTAGATAGTGCTTTTCAAGAAATGGAATGCTGGCAATGAGCAAGAACACAAGCAAGAAACGAATGCAGTTTTAGATAAAAGTGCTGCTTGATGAGTTGGCCATAATGAAAACTAAAATCTCCTCTGTACTCGCCCAGTCTGTATGTGCCTGTACACGTGAAGGCGTATCAAATGGTATAAATAAGCTTGTGAAAAAACGAGAGAAAAGTCTGGGCGTAAGTACACTTGGAGCTGGTTGCTTTGGCGACGCGAGGACATTGCAACGGCTGAACCGGATGCATGAGGCCGGGGTCTTGTGTGTGAGTCATCGGGTGCAGGTAGGCTCAGCTACTCGCCAGCTCCACCCGGTCCACGCAGCAGCAGTTACCGCCGCAACGGTGTCGGAGTGAGGCGGGTTGGGTAGGCTCCAGTTGAGCTGGGCCGTGGAAACTGGGAGTTGGGATGTGGGAAGGCAAGGGCAATCAGAGGAGCAGGATGCATTGCGTAGAGAGACCGATGGTTTCAATTGTAAATCACATTATAAAGGGGAAATTTTGCCCAGCGCAACAACCTCATTGTTGTGGAGACTTTAACTTGGTATGAAGGTGCATGATAAACAAATTCGTAGATCGAGCCCACCAGCCGTCGTCTTCTGGCGGGCTCGAACTACGAATCTTTTCGACATGTACCTTCATACGAAATGAAAGTCCACACGACATTTTTTCGTTGATAAGTAGATTTTCGAGACTACTAGTAGATGTGATATATGAGCTGTACTCACCCTCTATCGTTTATGGGGATAACCGGAGTGGCGATTGAGTTTTCCCACAATGATGTGAGTAGACCTTACAGTTACGTTGGATTTCACATAGCCTTGCTTCCCAAAAGGTATTCTCATCCCGGCTGGAATGGAATGAAGTTTCAAGCTCGCCCGAAGGGGTCTCATCAGCACTCCCAGCTGGACTCGAAGCATGCCAGTGTAGCTTATCGCCCTGACACTTTAGCTACTACGCCAGAATGCCACGAATGCCCTTGGGTGACAGGGCAAATGTGAATTTGGAAGAAGGCCAGGCATTTTTCCATATCACATTCTGTGGTGGGATTGTCGATGAAGCAAAGTTGTATTTGTTATAGTAATCGACTAAATTATATTCTTTCGTCTTTCCAAGTGGACTGGTAGTCTGGAAAGCCTATTCAACAAAACTAAAATAAGTAATTGACAATTAATCATTATGGATAGGACTTTGTTTAACCCTTCCAACGCTTGATGTCCGAGATTTATGTATACCAGCCGCAAGGTTTTTACTATGATTGAGTTACATTTTGAATCTTACAAGTATGTTAAAGAAAAGCAATTAAGAAGGAAACCCACACTTTTAGATATGAGAATCAAGTCTATGTAGAAACCAGCTAAAATGGAATAGCAGAAGAAAGTGGGTCAGAAAGTAGTAAAACTGCCCAAAACATTAGTAAAGAGAAAATACAACTTTGCTTCATCGACAATCCCAACACAGAATGTAATATGGTAAGGGGCTAGCTCTCATAGAAGTTCACCTCAGCCCTTTAACTCGAAGGCACTGATGGCGGTCTAGCATAGTGGTTAACATGTCGAGATTATACCCTGTACTATCCATACCTGAGTTCGAGTCCCGCTAGTTCTGCTAAGGAGATCTTGGCATGGTATAAACTGCATTCCACCCTTTGGGAAACAAGGCTCTGTGAAATAAAATTGGAATATAAGAAATTAACACCAAGATGTTGTGACCTCTGGTATGGTCACAGTCTCCTTTGGATTTATAGAAGTAGGTTCATCTCGTTGTCGCAACTTGGTCTTGTCGTCAAGGCGACTTAGTAGAACGCACCAAGATACACACGGACCGTGAAAAGCCGTTGGCAGAACGGGGACTATGAAAGATTCACAAAAGTGGATATGACTGCCTTCCTGCGAACTAACCCAAAAGCTACGGCCAATATTGAGTAAATGGAATATTCAGGTGGCCATGAAAGAGAAATCAACACTTTTCGCAAGTCTACCAAGGCAACATGAAAAGGTAGACAAACAGAATTTTTCAAGACTTTACTTTATAGCATGCGGTGCCTGCGAACATAAATATGTTGGCGAAACAGGGAGAAAAATTAGCACACGAATCAAGGAACATCAGAGGTTCTGCAGGAAAACGGATACCGAAAGACCAGAACTAGCGGAACATATCGCACGGACTGGACACGAGATTAATTGGAAGGCAACAGAAAGAAGAGCCCCATACGGTTAGAACACAAGAAAGCGGAAGATTAGGGAGACCATTGACATACTTGGGGATACAAATCTAATGAACAGGAGATTGGAGGAAGGTAGAGTTAGCGATAATTTGCCTATTGCCTAAGCAAACTCGGGGAAAACAATAGAGCAAAAGCAGCAAAAAGGATGCGCCTGGACCAAGGATCTGACGCTAACCGGAGGAAAAGGGATTGCGACGACGATAGTGGGGGCAGGGGTATTCGGCAACTAAGCGAAGACGTTGTCAGTGAATGATGGCCATTTGAATAAGCTAGTACAACTTTGGGGGCCTGGCAAACAGGGAGCTGGGCAGGCGAATAAGCACACCGTCATAGAAATTAGGGGTTCTGACCAAAATACACTAGAAATCCACTTGAGATGCCACATGCGACCAGAGATAGGCGTCCACAGTTTGCTCAGATAATGTGGGTTTAATCAAGGAGACGACCCGTGAAGGGAAGGCCTGATATCTGCAAACATGACAATCACAGCTTAAGCGCTTCGCTCAGTGAAGCCGCAGTTTATGTGCTTCTAGGGCCATGAGAAATATTCGTATAAGAGTAGGGTTTCGAGACTACCAGTAAATCAGTGTAATGAGATGCATTCACCATATTTCGTGTAAGGTAATAAGGGACTGGTAGTAGAATTTTCCCACAATGATATGAGTTGAGCTGACGCTTCCATTGAATTTCACATAGCCTAATTCCCAAAAGTTGTTCTCGTCAAGGGAGGACTGCAGTTTCGACCTCGCATCAGTCTTATCGGTTCGACTCCCGCTGAGTGTGTTAATAAGACCGATGTCTGGTCGAAACTGCAGTTCACTGGTGCCTGGATGAGAACAACTTTTGGGAAAGCAAGGCTATGTGAAATTCA